GGGGGACGTTTACCCGGAAAATATCGACTGTAGCGACAAGAATCGTCAGTAGTCAAAGGTCTTTGAGAGTCTTTTATCAAACTATTCCTCTGCACCTCTTCGTGTTGAGCTTTTCATGCATTGCAGGGTGAGACAATCCTCTTCGTCACATTTGCACAACTGCATTTGCTTTGTAAAGTGTCGGACTGCGAGTGACAATAAAGTTGGGAATGAGAGCTCAACAAAGTGCATGGCCTCTGCCCTACTTAACTGCTGTTTGCGTTGAAAACATATCCGTGCGTGCTCTCTGTCCACAGGTGATGCTGAGGAGTGTATTCAGGTGCCTTAGGACCAATCTTGTAGCTGGCCAAAGAAATATGTCTCAAAGCAGTCTTTCTGGCAAAGTAGCCATAGTCACTGCCTCCACAGATGGGTAAGAATGACGTTATTGACCCCTGATTGTTGGTGCTGTCCATGAAAAAACAAACAGTAACCAAGCAAGGACTGTGTTAGTCACCTGTCTCCAATCATGACAAATCCCTGATTATTGGAGAATTAGTAATAGAAGAGCTTAGTCCATGTTTGTTTGATTGTTTTGTGTATGTTCTAAAATGCTTATTTCTCAGATTCAGCACATTCATGAGAGTAATTACTGCTGTAAAGGGGTTAAAGCGATGCATCATAGAGCTCTTCTCCCCCCTCCTCAGAATCGGGCTGGCTGCGGCTCAGGCTCTGGGAAAAAGAGGTGCCCATGTGGTTGTGAGCAGCCGGCGGCAGGCCAATGTAGACAAAGCTGTGGCACTGCTGCAGAGCCAGAGCATCCAAGTGACTGGAACAACCTGTAATGTCGGGAAAGGAGAAGACCGAGAACAACTGGTTCAGATGGTAAGAAGCCGTCCATCGTGCTCAGAGGTGTAGAGCAGCACATAAACTATACAAGACCAAGCTTTGGCTCTTCATTATAACACAACTATTAAATGGGTGCTCATTTCTACATATATTTTTACTCTTGGACGCTATTAGAGTAGCTTCATGGTTCAAAATAATTATTATATGCCTAGCCCCTCAGTTGATCCTCTGTGAAAAAATCTATGAAACTTTATCTGGCATGAGCCACTTGAGAGGTGGAGAAAAGTTCAGCCAACGTGCACCTAACAATTTTTATCAATCATTAACAATAAAAAGGAATCCAAGCTGGATTTTAGTAGAATAAAGTTCAGCCTGATATTTTCCCTGTTTTTTCAATGTAGTTCCACTTAAAGTTGCTATTTGTGAAAATGTGTTTTTATAATGTTTTTATATGAAGCCGAAGTCCCTCACTGCCACATTCCTCTGCCCTGTCAGCAACAGGAACGCTTCCAGTTACAGTTTCTCTATTTTTCTATGCAGGAAATAAGTAACTAATTGGCAATGAGTTAAAATCTGGCCATAGTTCCACCCCAGATGCTTCTTACTTCTGCCAGGCTTAGTGTGAAGGGCAGAGTCAGAGCATGCTGCTAACACAAGCACTGAAACTACAGCTGTGCGCGACTGGACGACTCAGAACCACTATGACTGTTTCAAATACCTCCCGTTTCTAATGTGGACTGTATGTAAAGCGTTTTCAAGATTTAAGTTGCTGTCACAGCTCTTTCCCACGAAGAGCTGAACCCACTCTTATGGTCTTACCAAACTGTCCAAAAACTGTAATTTTGCCTTTAGCTGCCTGTCTACATCTGTTATTAGTTACTCTGTAACTTTGGTGTTTTAACATATTTAGCTCTGACGCAAACTCATTAAAGTCCCCGATCATCCACACCACACCTGCAGGGCTTTCCCCACAGTTTAAGAGTCACTGTGGCTCAGGTGGTAGAGCGGGTTATCTACCAATCAGAGAGTTGGTGGATCGGTGTTTGACTGCACCCGCTGAGTGTGTGTGAACAGATAAAAGCTCGTATGAATGTATGTGTGTGACTGGGTGAATGAGTCTGTATAAGTCTATGCTATTTAAGTCCACTTATCATGCACTGCTGTGCTTTCATCTGATTGGCTGCTTCTCAAAAACAGACTATTTGGACAGTCTGGAGCTTATCTCTATTTACCTCAGTGTTCACAGTCAAAGCTTTGTTTCCTGACATGTGCATGTTAAGGATATCTGTGCTCAGTGACATCACAGAGAGCTAAAAGCAGAACAAGCTGCCTGAAGCTGAGCGTTTCGGGCGGTCTGAGCCTGAGCTTCTGGCTCACAGTGATTACTTGTACATATGCTGGTGTCATTATTTGAAACTCTCCATGTTACTGTGAGCAAAAAGTCCCCTTTCATCATCCTCAGTGGTGGTGGAAAAAAGTAAGTGGGAACCATTAGCTGAGCCTCTTTTGGTGGTTTGGTGGTTACCTAGAGCACTTTCTGTAGCTGCACGTGCTCAGGGGGGATAATGGACCCCTCTGTCTTAAAGAGGCACTCCAGCTCAGCCATATTAGGATGTCTGGTCTGTGATGTCATTCTATAATAACCGATGGGTTTAAGGTGAAGCAGATTTTCTTGGTCTGCTGTATTTTTAAGGTTGGGGTCGCTGTCATGCTGCATCACTCAACTGGTCATGAGCAATTCAGACAATTCATCAGACTGCAGACGTTTCCCAGAAGCACTGTGGACTGCTAAGGTGCTCTGTGGAAAACTTTAGTGGAGGTTTTTTTTACATTTTTTTTGTGGTTTCTTCTGTGGAGTCCTGCCACGTAAAACATGCCTGCATGGTAGACTCATTAAGACAGATGTGAACCAGCTCCAGCCATTCCTTTAGCTTTTCCTCCGAGCTCCTTTTGGACTTTGTTTAGTATTTAGTGGCGTACCTTTGACCTTATTGTATTCAACGCTTGTTTTTAAGGACGACAGCGGCCACACAAGTAAAACGCTTTGAGTTTTAGACAGTGTATCTGAACAGTGTCTTTTACACGACTTTGTAAGAGTTTCATGAAAGCAAACAGTTCATCTTTTTGGGCAAAGCGTGGTTCACATCAGCAGCTGCTTTTGTGACTCAAACTGCATTAAGAGGTGAAGTGCACGTGTCTGTTAAAATGTCCTCCACTTGTTGGCGTCACTGTGTAATAGCGTGAACGAGTGCTTGGCTCTGTGTTTGGTACAGACTCTGGATCGGTGTGGGGCCATTGACATCCTGGTGTCCAATGCAGCAGTCAATCCTTTCTTTGGAAACATCATGGACTCCACAGAGGAGGTCTGGGATAAGGTGCGTACAAAAATTGAGCTCACACCAATCATTTATGATGTACGACATAAATTTGCATTTTTTTTTAAATGAAGGATACAGTAGCACTGATATGTTGTCATAAAAAAACAACATAAATCCAAAATGTGGTTCTGAAGAGCTGTTTACGTCACTCTGAGATCACTCTGTTATTTAAAGTATTCGCTGTCACTGTGTCGACATTTTTCAGATCCTAGATGTGAACGTAAAATCAGCCTTCCTCATGACCAAGCTGGTGGCGCCTCATATGGAGAAGAGAGGGTGAGTGACAATGGCACCAAAAGGGGCGTCCATAAAAACCTGCCTGCTGTAATATTTCTTCACTGTGTTTTTCTTTCAGAGGTGGAAATGTCATATTTGTGTCATCTGTGGCTGGATACCAGCCAATGCAGGTCAGTGAGGAATTTCTCCTTGGCAGGAATTCGTGTGGTGCTGTGACTGAATCTCATCAGTGCGGTCAGGATTGGTTGGTCGCCTCCTTACATCACATCGAGACATAGAGATGGAAGTGAGAAAGCAATTCTCTGGAGAAAAGCTGTAATGTTAAGCATCTATGTTACTCACAGACTCCAGTATCTGCCAGTGTTTGACACAGCATTAGAGGTGTGGAGCCTGAGCTTTTATGGCTTTTGAAGTGGGAGAAAAGTCTTAGAAACCCTGTTTGGTAAGGTAGTCTTAGTGTACCAGGAGATTTCAGAAGAACATAAAAATCCCTTGGCGGTTGTGTCTGGAAAGGCAAATGTGCCAAGTCAAACATGCAGAGGCACCCGCTGTGGCGCCGTGTTAATAAGGAAGCAGCTAATAATGGATATATGCACTTAAAACGAGTGAGACATAAACCTGAATGTAAAGAAGTGACATGCTCTGTTTTGTTTCTGCAAACCTGTTCACGTGGTGGGCATGTGCACCTCTCCAGGCTTTGGGTCCTTACAGCGTGAGTAAGACGGCCTTGCTGGGTCTAACCCGGGCTCTGGCCCCGGAGCTGGCTCAGAGTAACATAAGAGTGAACTGCGTGGCCCCTGGAATAATCAAGACCCGCTTCAGCTCTGCGGTGAGGACACACGCTGGAGTCCTTTGCTAAAAATGTGGTTTTTGTTGCATTTCAGTCGTGCTTTCTCTTATTAGTGTTGTACTTTTTATAATAAACTCTTTTGTTCCAGCTGTGGCAGAATGAAGGCATCGTGGATGAGTTCAAAAAGCAGCTGTGCATTAAAAGGTGAAGTTCGAGGTTACAGGAAAGCGTGTTGGTAATATTCAGAGTCCAGGATTTGACACGTTGAATTTGCTTCTCCTGTCAGAGTTGGAGAACCAGAGGAAATCGGAAGTGTGATCGCGTTCTTGTGCTCCAAGGAAGCGTCCTACATCACCGGAGAGACCATCACAGTGACCGGAGGGATGAACTGTCGACTTTGAACGCATCGTTTTTAATTGGATTTCTTCTATTTTTCTGAAATGCGGGCAGGAAACAGCTGCAACACACTAATATAAACCAATATAATGAAGCAGAGAGCTCTGGGTTACTGTGAGCGTCTTGAGTTTCCAGGTTGATTTTTGTTGTGTAAAGGTTTCTAATGAAAAATCTGATGTTTTTGTAAAAGAAAATAATTTAAAATGAGGAAATGTGTCATTTTAAACTGCAGCAGCTATGAGATAAAAGCTTTTCAGTGCATAAACATATTCATGATTTACAGGCCAGGGATGGTTTTATTAACAGTCATTACATGAGCTGAACGTCAGGAGCCGTTTGAGAGCTTCGCCTTCATCAATGAACCAAATGGAGCGTGCACCAGTCTCATCATCAACCAGTTTTTATTTTGCATTTAATTTCATATATTTCATATAAAAATCACAAACTTTATTAACAGATATTATTACATATTGCAAGTTTAAAATATTTCACATTTGTAACAGACAATCCAGATATGTTTTAAAAAAATGCAATTTAAATGACTTAAAAAAGCTGTATGACACTGCCTGTAACCGTGGCTACGTTTATCCACGATGTCAAAGCACCTGTTCAAGTTTTAATCGCCCTGAGTCAGGTTTATTTCAAGCAAATGGAAGATAAAAGTGTCCATCAGTCTCAATAGCATTTAAAAACGTGTTATTCTTTCCGACCATGTTGCCGGTGGAGGACAAAAATCATTTCATCACCTCCGTTTGTGTCCAGCAGACAATAAGTGGCGCCGGGTCATCGCAGGTTTCCAAAACTCCCTCAGGGTGGGCACGTAGGTGCCGTGTTTGGTCTTGTAGTAGCGTTTCATAAACAGCTGGGGGAGACAAAGGGATTCAAAGCACTAAGAATAAGAGTTTACTGTGTTACAGGCATCAGTTACAGCAGGGACGTCAAACTTATTTTACACAGTTTTAGTCCTGAGTGAGCCGGACCAGAGTCTTTCTATCAGTGTAAACACGTTTAATTGCACATTTAACCCCTGAGATCTAAAATTAGAAAAACAAGTCTCAGCACATCTCAGTTGTTCAGCTATGAGAGAAATGTCAGCCTTAATCTTTGGGCTTCAACTGTAAATTAATGTATAAATATACAGAAAAGGTCTTGTAATTATAAAACAATGTTTTTGTTTTATATTTTTTTTTTAATTTCTGTGAATGAATTATAAAGAAAAACAAAGAAAACAGCAATGTGTTGTCATTTAATTTTTTTTTTATCTATTAATTACTTTGGTGAAGTCTGAATGGCCATGACGGCGCTCTCTATCAGCAGGAAGAGCTGCAAGAATTCATGAACATGTATTTGAGCCTGCAATTCATGCCCTCCACATTTTACAAAGCCACCCGATGTGCCAGATTGAAGTCCTTGCCAGGCCGATTTTGGCCCCCCCGAGTCTTATGCTTTACACTCCCATTTATACTATTTTGTCTGAAACTGCACATCATTCAGGTGTGTTCTGCATACGCACCCTGACTTTGAAGTTCTTCGTCGCCTCATCCTCTGAATCAGCCACGTAGTCGTCATCTTCTGCACCGGCCAGCACCTCTGAACAGAACAGTAAACACACATAAGCTCAAACCTTTGCAGGTGATACATTTCTTACATAATTACACCCCACATTCACCTGTGTCACTCTGCTGCTGAGAGGGAGAGCTTCTCGTGCTGTGTAGTGCAGGATGGTTTCTGTTGAGGGGAAACAACAGTAGCTGTTAACTGGTGACTAATCACGGGGGGGGCATCGAGCTGACCTGCTTAGCTTCGTGCACTTCTAACTGAAGTCTAAAGGCAACCAGAAAACACTGAAGTACAAATGTTGATCAGTGTGTGTGATCTAGCTGCACATAGTTAAGTCATTAAAATCAGACAAAAGAAACCAGAAATCTGTGGAGCTAAATCAGATGTTTTTATTGTATTCAGACAGTTTATACCATGTTTAAACGAGTTGACTGAACCACAATATCTATTTTTACTTCAAACATGTTCTTAAACAAATATGCAGCCATAGCATTACCCATATATTACTTATTCACACAGACCACAGTGCTTGGTTTATTGCCATTATGCACTTTAGTCCCTTACTCTTTGTCTTGCGAGCCGGGAGACTCTGTGTCAGACGACAGATGGCTGCTTGTCTGTCTCTGCGTTGACGTTGTGGCCGGTGACTTCCTCCTCTGCTTGTTTTGTGCCTGGTAAGAGGATGTTTCCTCTGGCCCAGATGTACTAGCCCTGAGAGAAGCAGCTGACATTTCTTCGATGACAACCCTGGGCTCCATGATCAGACAATCGACAAAAACAGAGTAGAGGTGTTGATCTTCAGGGTGATATAGTGTTTTAACACCTAGCTTTCTCATCCGGGCTGCCAGGACTTCCCTGCTGCATCCCTCTTTTCTTATAGTTTCTGCTCGGCCTTCCTTCCTCCTCTGGTCACCTTTACTCTGCGTCTGCCCGCTCAGTCTCTTTTCCACGGGTGTTGTTACACTTAGAACTTCTTCCTCCTCCAAATCGCTTTCTCCTCTGTCAGAGTTCTTGCGCTTCACCCCACTCCTTTGACTTAGGGTGCATCCCTCCTCCTCCTCCAGCTGCTCTCGCCCTTCTTTCGCTCCTTTATCTTTGGCTTTTGGCCTCTGTTTCACTGAGGTGAATTTGGAGTTCAGCTGCTCATGTCCAGCATTGTCAGCTGGACCATCACTTCTCTGTGTTCTTTTAATGCCAGAGTTCAAGACCGGGACGTCTTCATTCGATATTAGTCCAATAACAGGTGCGATAAATGAAGGTTTGCTTTTTGGCTCGGCGCCCTCAGATTCAGCCACTGACAACTTCCTGGCTGCTGTCGGCTGATCTGATGGGACTCTTCCCGATGGTGGCAGAGAGAGTGAAGCCAGGATGGAGTCTCCCATATTCGGAGGTAGTGACGCTGTAAAGAGCAAAGAGCATTATCATGAGCTGACACTCAAAGTCTTCCCGTCACAGTCGTCACAACACAGATCTTATCTTTTTCAACCTGCTGACTCCAGGTGGCCAAGGCAGGTTTCATGCTGAAGTAAAATCTTCAGGAGCTGGGGCTGCGTGGCTGCCCGTGCACACTCCTCCAGGACAGGGGGGGCGTCACTGAGCCACGCTGCAGTCTGACAAAAAAATAAAATAAAACCCAAATATTAGATCAATTCTTGCACACAGAAACTGTTAAAGCAGTGACGATAAGAGCAATAAATCATGGCTAACGCTATGGAAACAGCCGTTTTCTCATTACCTGTACTAGGTTGGGAACAGGAAGCAGCTGGTCCAGTCGAACCAAAAACTCCCACAGCAGCTTCTCCAGCTCCTGGTCAAACGTTGCTCCGTAATCCACAGGAAACACTTCCTGTCAGGAGAGGGCGTGAAAGTTCATCAACAGGTGGAGGTGCTGAAGTGTGTGCTGCAGAGGCGAGGTACTCACTTTGTAGAACTTTTCTCTAATCGCTGGGTCTGTGAGGAACGTGTGAATCAAAGAATGGAAATCTCTCACTGTTCTCATTAGTTTTACATCCTTACTCTGGGAAGAAAAAGAGAAGAAATTACATTTGTTTTCTCCACAATCAGGAAATCTGCATGTAAGCAAATAAGACATGTAGATTGGTAACATAAAAATCCCCATTTGGCACATCGTCTTTTTGAATACATAATCTTTGCATCACAATGCAAGTATTCAGCTACAAGTACTGTGCTGCAACACACTATGAGCTCTTCCCTAAATATCAAAGGTTCAACTGAGCAATGTTTAATTCCGAAATCAGCTCCATGTTTTTGTGGTCAGTGCCTGAAATGAATCAATCACAGAGCAGAAGGAATATGAAAAAACTGAGGAAAATCAGTATCAAATTTTCGCCACAGAATAAAAGTTGTCAAAAGTGGCAGTGTGATCTGTGAGGTCACTTACTGAAGAAGTTCCAGCAGGTACACGGACTCTTTCCAGGTGTTCCTCAATCACCTCAGCATCAGGCTGTGAACTGCACAGCTCCAAGATCAACTTGTTAAACAACAAACAAACAAACAAACAAAAAAAGAACGAGGTAAAGATCATCTGACTACAGAGAAACACCAGGTACAGTCCCCGCCTCCACTCATAAGACCGCCATCATATTTTTGTAATTTTGCATCACTGGTGTGTTTTCCCTCTCTTCTATAAAAAGGTCTGCATGGTGTGAGAATGAGTGCGTGGTAACTGCTACTGTTGTTACAAGTCAGTTTGTGAAGTTTCTTCCCTCCTAGATATTCAAGCATCAACTCTTAGTGGTGTTATTGCAAAGTGAACGTGTTTATGGACCACAGCAACTCAACCATGAAGTGTCAGACCACTTTAAGGCACAGAGCGGCGTCAACAAGTGCTGAGGGGCATAACATAGGCACTAACGTCTGTCTGCTGAAAGGTTCGTAACTGAAAGGTTCAAAGATTTAGTTTGTCTTTATGGCTTTTTTCCCCACTGGTCTAAAATTCAGTCCACCTCAAGGCACTTTATACTGTAATATAAAGACCCTACAGTATTCTGGATTAAAATGAGTAACATAATCTTAAAAGTAGTGACAGTGTCTATCTCCCAAATCCAAACTGGGAACTGGTTCCTCAGAAGAGGGGCCTGAAAGCTGAAGGCTCTCCCTCCCATTCTACTTTTAAATACTGTAGGACCCACAAGTAAACACGCACTCTCACAGGGAAGTGTACTGTAGGAATAATATAAGGTCTATTAATGACAAGCTGTATGCAAGAAGAAGGATTTTAAATTCTGGATTTAACAGGGATCCAACAAAGGGAAGCCAATATAGGAGAAATATGCTCAGTCTTTCTAGTCCCTGTCAGTACTCTCACTGCAGCATTTTGGATCAACTGAAGGGTTTTCAGGGAGTGTTTAGAGCAACTTGATAATCATGAATTATAATTTTAAAGGCTAGAAGCAATAAATGCAATAAATGCATGAAAAAGGTTCACTGAGACAGAGTGCTTCCAATTTTAAAGATAATGAGCAGATAAAAGAAAGCAGTCCTGCATAATATTTCAATTTGCAATCTGCAGGACATATCCTGGTCAGAAATGACTCCAAGTTTGTTTATAGTGTTACTTTTCCTAATCGATGCTGTGCTATCTTCCAGCAATGAGGTTAGGATGGTGTGCTTCTTTTTTAATACTATGTCAAAGCCCTAATAAACATGCAAACTCCAGGCTAAAGCTGCAGAGGTGGAGACTGGGACTCTGCCATTCTTGGACACAGTACAGTGGTTCAAGCACATATTTAAATCCGATTTCCAAATCAAATCACTTTTATTGTCACATCACATGTGTGCAGGTACATGTGAGTGAAATTCTTGTGTGCGAGCTTCACAAGCAACAGAGGTGAAGCTTCTCCTGTTATACTCACTCTTGCTCTCAGCCCCACTGTCAGCCTGCCCTGGTGTCTCACAGTGAGCAACCCAGGCACAGCCTCACAGGAAGATGTCACGAACTCCTCCACAACCCCATACTGCATCACATCCCTCCGCTTCAGCACCTTCCACAGGGCTGCAGACACCAGACGCACAGGCGGGGCAAGCAGCTGGAGAGCAGCGAAAGGAAGGCTGGCATCTGCGCAAGAAACAAAAATAGACTACAGTACTGAATCACACTTGCATGAGCTCCTGACAGTAAAAGTTGGAAATAGTGGCATCAATCACCACACGTCCAGTTTAAACGTTACGCTTACCGCTTCCCTTTGGTTTTCTGGGGGCCATTCCACTGAACAAGTCCAGAAGGAAACCGGCTCTAAAGTTGACGTTAGCTTAGCAACTTGGAGAGCTTCTAACCGCACTGAGCTTCAAAATAGCACGGGCACTAACACTGAATGCTGAGGAACTTATTTAGGAATAATAACACATACTAGCTCGAGTACTGTTTGGAGTCACCTGTTGATAAACATAAATGGCACTGCTGTTGTTCCCGCGATGTAAATAAAGCTCGTTCACGTCCATCAAAAGTTTGCCTTCTCGTCCTCCCGCCTTCACTGACAGGCTCGCAGTCATTCGCAGTGTTCATTGGAATCTGCCGAATGGGCGGTGCTCCAGAGCAAAACACAATACTCCACCCCTGGCGTGTGTTGAAACGTTTTACACAAGCGCACCCAATCTGGTTTCAGGAAATGACGTATTGACGTTGCCTGCCAGCCAACACTTCATGATTTTAAAAAAACATTTAATGGAAAAAAGGTAAATAGAAATGAAAATTATATATTAGCTGAGGCGAGGAATACCAGAAAAGATTCATTTAGATTAATTTAATAATTAATTTAGTTTATATCTTTATAACGACCCGAAAGTGTTTATTTACTGTTTCTAAATTGCGGTTTTTAGATGATAGTTTTATTTATTAAGGCGAAAAAAATCTGTACAAATCTACCTGATCCTCTGAAAAAAATAACTGCCACCTAAACCTAATAACTGGTTGTGCCCAACTTGGCAGCAAAACTGCGGTCAAGTGTTTGCAATAACTTGCAATAAGTGTTTCACGTCACATTGGAGGAATTTTGACACACTTTTTCTTTCTTCTTCTTTTTTTAAGCCATTCAGAGGTCGAATTGCTGATGTGTTTTGGATCATTGGTCTTTTCCATAGCCCAGGTGAACTTGTCCTTCAGTGAGTCTCATCAGGATTTTCTGGTAAAGAGCAGAACTCATGGTTATAACAATTACAGCAAGCCATCCTGAAGCAGCAAAGCAACCCCAGACCATCACACTACTACCACCACCATGTTTGACTGTTAGTATGAACTTGGAAGGTTCATACTGGTCCAAGTTTTCTCCTTTTGTGGAAAATCGCTCTCAGTATGGTTCACTGGAGTCCCAAAGCCTTAGAAATAACTTTTCAAACCTTTCCATACAGACAGATGTCAGTTTGCTTCCCAGCTGTCCTTGAGTCTCTTTAGATCGTGGCATAATGTGTTACTGTTTGAGATCTTTTAGCCTACTTCACTTTGTCAGACAGGTTCTGTTTAAATGATTTATTGAACACCTTATGTCAGCCAAAAGTTACAAAAAGATTACAACGCACTATAGTTATCTCCTACAACATAAAACAGTCTCCAGTATACAGGCTTACAGACCCAACAAAGCTAACACCATCTAATAATTCTTTAAAGAAAAAAAAAAGAGACTTCTTAAAAAACTGTTTATGTTCAGTTATAAAAACACAGGAAACAACCTCTGAATTATCAGCTGTAGATATCATTATTCTGCTTTTCAGATAAAAGAAGGCACGTCTGAGTCAAACACAATCAATATGAACTTTACCCTGTTCTGTTCTGTATCTGAATTATCACCAAGTCCCGGGGTAAAGTCCAGCAACTGGGTCAAACACAAGCAGCACGAACACTAATACAGTGTGTGACACCAAAACAGCCCCAAAAACATCAGGCTGAGAGACGAGAAGGGAAGAAACTAACCAGCATGGATACAACCTCTTCATTCATCAAGTAAGTGACAAATGAGTTTTAACGTACCAGTTAGTACACTGCTGCTGTCTGCAGCTTGATACGATCGTAAAACAGGCACAAGTAACTTAATGATTCGACAGGTGTTCCCAAAAATGTACAGTACTGAGTTATGTAAGACTGAGGTATGAAAAAAACGTTTTTCTAATTTCAGATTAAAATGTTTAAGAAAAACCGTAAAATAAAATAAAAGCAGGTAAAATCAGTGTGACAATGGAAGAGTGAAATTGAGAGGATGATTTAATGTAAATAAAAATACAGATGGTGCATAAAATAGAAATAACAATAAATAGGGAATGTATGTGAAAATGGTCTCTATCCACAAGGATCAAACTCACATAACAGTTTGACTCATGTTAAGTACTTTGTGTAAATAACAAAACTAAAAACGGCTCAATGCAATTTAGTTGATAGATTTTGGGGTCATGTTCGGGTAATATCAGCTTGTTAATATAACCTACTGGGACACAAAACCAGCATCCTCTCAGATAAAAGTCAAACGTTAAAGAGACCCTTCTATTATTTTCAAACCTTTTTTTGTCTCGTCTGTCCTCAGGTCTGTAACCAAGCGAGTGTGGTCCCCGACACAGAGACCTTTCAGAGTGTGCTGTCACAACAGGAACACCAGGAAAGGCGTCACGGCCGGGACGCTGGAGGAGCTGAAGGAGAGGGTGAGAGTGACTGAGGAAAGGTTCTCAATAGGGTGAAAATATTTTCAGCCAAAAATGTCAAAATAAAATAGAAGATTAAGAAATCTATTAAATTTGAAAAAAGAGAAATAAGATTTTAAAATTATAAAATTAATTAATAGGGCGAATGATTTCAATGTGGCAATAAAAGAGGATTAAATAATCTTTTAGAAGATAGTTCATTACCTTAAGGCCATGACATCATCTAAAAACATGATATCATAATCTATAATTTTTGTATAGGATCACATGAAGTCATTAGTCAAATATTCACTGCCTTTGCCTGCAGAATATAAGAGGGCCAAACTGCATTTCCAAACGCCAGCTGAATATCAGCTATGTGTACAACAGCTCCACCTAGAGGCTGATCAAATGCATTTTTTCTTGCCAATTGGGTGCCATAAAAACTGGTTTATTAACTGATGATCATGGTATTAACAAAGGCTAAGACTAAGTCCTTAAGATGGCATGGAAATGTTTCCATTCAAGTCCATATCATGTTGAATTATTATTTAATGCTAATAAATGATTAAGAATGAGGGTTTTTTTTGTTGTTTTTTTACAGCTGGGAAGTAAATATCACTAATTCATATTCTCTGTATATGACTGCTTACTGTCCTCATACTGACAGGTAAGCCAGGCGTTGCTGCTCTCGCTGTCTGCGGTGTCTCTGTCTCTGGTTTGTGAGGATGACGGTACAGAAGTCGACTCTGATGAGTTCCTCATGACCCTACCCGACAACGTCATGCTCATGGCCCTGGAGCCTGGACAGACGTGGAGATCACAACAGGTGGGTTTGACCGCAGAAGCTGTGTCTGGGTTTAGGGTGTGCTTTTTGTCTCTTGGTGACAGTTTTCTAATCTCTCTGATGCCCCCCAGGGTGCAGTTGTGCCCAAAGCTCAAGACCACAAGTCACGTACTGGGAGAGACATAGCCCGCGTCACCTTTGACCTTTACAGGATGAGCCCCAAAGATGTGTTTGGCTCATTGAATGTGCAGGCCACATTTCAAGGCCTGTACTCAGTGAGCGCTGACTTTCAGTGTCTTGGGCCCAAGAAAGTTCTCAGGTAAGCCAAGTGAAAAGGTTAGCAGGGTAATAAAGGTTCATTTGCATATGTAGTGCTGTGCAAGCTTTCAGTGGCAGAAGAAAAATTCAGTCTTTTAGCATCAATACAGACTTTAGTTTGCACTTAATAAAAATGAACGGACAGAACTTTAGTAGCAATAACTTTAACACGTCACATTGGACTCTATAAAACTTTGGTATACAGAGGAGTTCACAGTCAATTCACTGACTGTAAGACGCCCAAATCATCACCACCTCCACCACCGTGTTTCACAGTTGGTGTGAGGTGTGTTTGCTGATAGGCTGAATTTGGTTTTCTTTAAATGTGGTGCTGTGCACCTCCACTTTGTTCTCATCTTAAAGGACATTGTTTCAGATGTTCTGTGGATTGTTCAGATGCAATTTTGGCTTAGGCATCAAGGCTTAGGCTCACAGACCTGTCATTAACTTTAATATTTGACATCATAACTCAGACCTGTAGAGTCTCAGCTGTAGCTACTGCGATTTTGCAGTTTCTCCGAGCATTGCATGACCTGACCCTGAGGTAAATTTGCTGGGATGTTGCATGGTGTTATCACACAGACCAGCAGACTGCCAGAACTTCTGATTCTCAGTTAACAAAATGCATTTGATCAGCAGCCCCACAATAATTCCTATGGAAGTAGTAAGGGTGCAGTAAATTACCTGGTTTCCTGCCTGCTCTGGCTCCAGCCTGTGTTATGTACTTCAAATACATTTTAATAGTTAGGTGGAGTTCAGCTGATCCACACGATAAATTTTATTACACAAATTTGTTGATTTTTCTGATATTTCTTGATTTTATACTCCCAGATTAGTACCTCAAATAATAACAGTATAACATCTGAATAAAAGGACACTAAAGAAATACTCGTGTATAAGTCTCAGTTTTCTACAGATTTTGGATTATTTAACTTTAAACTTTAAAAGAGGATAAGAGAAATAGCAGCTGTCACTCACAGCCAGCTATTAAAAGCTTAACGATCACATCAGATGTTTCTGGTTCAGGCTGAAGAATCTGCACTGACCTTTAATCCTGATAACACTGTGCTGTTTCCAGAGAAGTGCTGCGTGTGGCCTCCACCCTTCTTCAGGCTGCAGGACACCTGCTTCTCACGTCTGCCACCATGATCCGCCGCATCATCGAAGGCGCAGAGCTCTGGCAGCCACAGAGGGCAGAGTACGCAGCCAGATGGAACTGAGATGGACCCGTTTACATGCAACCTAAAGTAATGAGGTCTTTTGTGTGACTGCTGGACCTGTTTGAGAGCCTCTCAATTTACTCTAACCCTTCAGTACCTACAGTATTGGAAAATTATGTTTTACCTCCTTAAGAAGAGGAAAAAGAAAGCACCTTGTTAAGAGAAACATCTGCTGAGGTAGCATCTGTAAATATTAACTGTGATTGTATGAATAGATGTCGTATTTTTGTAATCATATTTCAGGTTTAAAACAGATTTTTAATACTTTTTGCCTCTAACAAAGCAAGATTTAGTAAGATAGCTGGCTAACTTGTGAAATATTACCCACTTAATATCTTTCACAGCAGGGCCAGACCAGTAAAACTCCTGCACTGAGGTTTAACTGCACATTTAATCCTGGACATAGTATGTTATTATAATAAAAAGCGCTCTTTGGGTTTAAATTGTAAGAAATAAAAGTGTAAAATAACAGAAACTTCTGGTAGCTCATTTTCTAGACTGTCTTTAAGTATAAAACTGAACCTAACCTAAATAGCAGAAAATGAAAGAAATGTACACAGTGGTGAAAAAATAACTTCTCTGTCATTTAGCTATTAATTATTTTGGTTTAGTATGAATGACCTGCAGAGCTCTTAGTAGGAAAACATGTAAAATTTAGTGAAAAGCCCAAAATCTACACTCTCCTTCACAGTTTCAGTCCAGGACTGAAGTCTTTATTGGGCCGATTCTTTTGCCCCGGGCCTTATGTTTGACACCACTGTTTTAAAGTGTCCAGTATTGGTGTAATTTAGTGTGGATTACATGCTGAAACATGTGTCTTCTTTCAAACATCCCTGTGTTTTCTGTCCGCACTGAGGAATAATTTGTGTTTTGCTGTAACTAATCAGCTGAGTCCTGCTGGAAGAGCAATAAAAGTGCTTTTATTAAGACAGTGAAAACAGCTGCACAGCATAAACAGACTAAAACTGCACCTAGAATCCGAATGAGGATCTTTTGAACACACTAACTAAAACAGCAGGAAAAACATGGAATCAGGGGTTCTGTCTAACATGGGACCTTGATAAACAAGTTCACAACTGCCTGAAGAACAGATGAACTAAAAAACGATCCAGCTGTGTTTTTATATGAGCCATAAGAGCTGTGCTATTTCTACTCTGGAGGGATCTTCACATTTTTCTCCTCGCTGTAGCCTTTGTTCCCTTCGAGCATCATAATCCAGGAGTTAATGCTATTGGGCAACTTTATTTTAGTCATCACGTTCATGTACTGCTGATACATGATGTTGCCCAGTACCCGTTGGTGCTCCTCCTCATTCATCCAACGAGGCCTCCCTCTCTTAATGAAATAGCGCATGTCGGCGAACCACTGAATGACCGCCAAGCGTGGCACACCGACCAGCTTTGCCAGCCGGCTGTACTGCTCCTTGTCTGGGTACTGGCATTGCAGGAACGCCATCTTCATCATTGCCAGCTGGGCCGGCGTCTTGCAGTGGAGCCGAGTAGTAGGTGTAGGCTCTGCGGAAGAGGGGGTGTTTTTCACTTCGATGAGGGCCTTTAGTTTGTCAATATCTGTGATGAAAACGCTGTGGTCCGGCTCTGCTTGCAGATCTGCACCCTCGATTTCTTTTTTCTCCCTGAAGTCGCCGTCTATGGTGGAGCAGGGATCGCCGGCTCTCTGCAGCAGACGTGTCTGGTTGTCAGGCGCTGGAGATGCATCAGAAGTTTGGTTTTCAGCCTGGGGGCCGAGCAGAGAGCTGGGAGCCGGAGGTGCATTACTCTCCTCTTGCATGCAACTTTTGATCACTCTTGGTTTTTTTCTTTTTCTGCCACGACGCTTGGGGCATTTTTCTCCCCCGCTTTCCACTTTATCCATCATCTCCTCCTTATCACGCTTCACGATCTTCTTTCCCATCTGGTCTGTTGCTGTTGTCTTTTTTCGTTTTTGCGTGCTGCTTTTTTTCTCCTTCACTGGTTGCTCCTTCATGTCTCTCTTCAACTGCTCATTAACATTTACGCTGTCTCCTCTCACTCCTCTTCCCTTTGCATTCCCACCAGTTGCTTTCACTTTTCTCTTCTCTCTTCCGTCCTCCATTACTTCTCTCTCCGTCCCGCCTTGAAGCTCCTTCTTTTCCTGACTTGAGTTGAACTTCCTTTGGACCTCACGGATGTCTTCATAGTCCCAGCTGATGCCGTAGCGGAGCCTCTGTGCCATGAACCACGCCTTCACCTGGTCTGGGTGCAGGTGGCAACTCTCTGCCAGTTCGGCGGTCTGTCTGTGTGTTAGGTAGGGAAACCTGTCAAAGGCCTCGTCCAGCTCCGCAGCGCCGTGTATCTGTGAGTCGATCTGGTGCGAATGCACCCACACAAGCTTCCTACTCTCAGAGATCAAGGGGAAACACACCACACTGCTCTGGTTCATGCCGTTAGCCATGGGGGTAGGGCTCATGTCTGAGAAAGCTGGAGTCTCTTCACGAGTGCCAGGTGGTTTCTGACCGAGTCTGAGGAGCTCTTCATCAGCAAAGTGCCTCATCTTACTCATCTGTCGTGATGCACTCCTGAAAACAGCAGACAGAAACATGTACAACTAAATAAAATACTCTAAGGTCAAAATTACTGAGCAGGATTTTCCCAGTGCCTGTGATGAAGTATTTGATTTCTTAGATATTTGATTTGTTTATCGTGCACTTCCGGTAAGTAGCAGCCAGGTGCTGATAATCAAATGCACCTGATTAATGAGGTATCAGCAGGCGTGAGCATGTCTATAAAAGCAGAAGTTTTGGCAGTTTAATGATCTGGAGCATTCAGATGTGTGTTAACATAAAGACTCAATCTTCCCAGGAGAGGGCGTCCCAGCAAATTCACAACAGGATCAGACCATGCAATGTTCAGAGACACTGCAAAAAAGCCAAAGAGCTCCATCTCAGGCTCTACAGGTCTCAGTTAGCACGATTAATGTTAATGTTCATGACATTATTATTAGAAAAAAAACTGAAAAAGTATGGCTTGTTAGAAAGGGTTAAGGGAAAAAACTCTTCTGTCTAGAGCAGGGGTGGGCAATTCCAGGCTTCGAGGGCCAGTGTCCTGCAGGTTTTAGATCGCACCTTGGGTTAACACACCTGAATCACATGAATAGTTCATTACCAGGCCTCTGGAGAACTTCAGGACATGTCCAGGAGCTAATTTAGCCATTTAAATCAGCTGTGTTGGTTCAAGGACGCACCTAAAACCTGCAGGGACACTAGCCATCGAGGCCTGCTCACCCCTGGTCTAGAATGAACATGGCAGCAGATCTGAACAAAACCAGAACACAAGCAATGAGGAATATCCCAAAATTTCTCCACAGCTATGTGAGAAACTGATAAGATACAGAAGACGGATAGATAGATCCCTCGGGTAGGTTCCTCCAGGAAAATGTCTATTGCACAGTATTTTGACTATTGTCAGTCTATTGCACAGTGATTAGTTCTTAAGCTGAATAGTCCAATATCTTTATTTACAGTATGAACGGGCATTATAAGGTGTTATAGATAAAATTTTAAATTTTTAAAAATGACCTGCTTTGCAAGCATCCTTATAACTGTGCATTATTGTATGTAGTCTGTTTCACATTATAATCAATCCAGTCCTTTTGGCCACTTAAATGTCTTGATATTAGTGTTATATTATATTTCTTGCAGTTTTTTATACCAGATTTTTGATGTCAATGAGACATTTTGCCCACATAAACAAAAGATGTATAAAAGTCACTTTGCCAAAGAGTGGCTGCAACTTCTACATGCTGGCAGGTCTTTTCTTACTCGCTTACATAATGGCTTTTGATCATTCATTAGAGACACATTTGATAGATGATAGGTCCACAAAAGTTTAATATCAGAAATCACTTTTTGGCAGATGATCACCATTTTCACCGTGGCGCTGCTAAAGTTGTTTCACAAACTTAATGGTGCTGTGTAATTTATAACAGCTGGTTATTTTATATATTTTTTTAAAATATTAATTATAAAATTAACTCATACCTGGAGCTCAATTTAATCCCCTAAGTTAGTAGTACCTCAATAAGAGTAAGACATAAGACGTAAGAGTAAGAACTGAACATATTAAATACAAACATCTTTAAGTTTAATACTCTAAATGTTAATTTTAATCCTTTTGGTTTCAGTGATTTAATGCCCAAGAAAGTAAGGTTACACCCAAACTGATTCCTGTTAATTACGTTATACTTTAATTAATTAAATATTACTTATTGTTTAACACTTTTAGCTAATTAACTAAACAAAGTCTAGCTAACTTAGCTAGCTAACTTTAGCTGGCTACACTTTGATGTTAGCTTGTTATATTCTGACCGGGACTGACCTCTCTAACCCGGTTATGAGTAACACACAGTGATGTTAAAAAGTACTGGTTACCTTCACTGTTCACCCCGTTGCTTTATCGGAGCACTGCTTCCTGTTTGTTAGCACTAGCGGTAAGTTTAAGGCTAACTTCGGTGCACAGGTGTAGTTAGCTTAATAAAAGTATCTCCTGGGTTTGCCTTGCATTCATAAAACTTTGGCGCCCGCCAACCTTGAGAAACAACGTCAGCTCCTGTCTGATGTTCCCTTTGAAAACTGTCCGAAATATACAATAAAAAGGCGAAAAAATCATTTACAAATTCTTCCCCGAAGTCACTGGTCACATCATTAGGAACACATTGTTGTTTGGCTCATGACAGAGGTTATATATGAAATGTGATAGACATTTTAATTTATTAAATGAGAAAACAAAACAAAATTAATTTTTGTCTCGATGACACCCCACAAAGATTTTGAGCCAGAAATACACCTGGTTTTAATAAATATCCCATTTAAAAATATTAACTGGGACAGAAAGAAGGCAGGAAAACTGGGAGAAAAATTGCAGTAAATGGTCCCATATTCAGTCCTCTGCAACAACCTTATGGCACATGGTGTACCTGCTCAGCCAGGTGGGCTATGCTAGGAATTTCTTTTTTAATACAGTTTTAAGAAATGATATGAAGTAACTGCTCTTGTGGCCTAACCCTGGCCACAAGGTCAATCATTTCTTAGCTGACATACGTTTTATTTAGGTGTGGTGTTTATACTTGTAACTGTGTATTTATTTTGCCTGTGTTAAACAATTTCATATTTTTTGACAGATTTTTTATGGGAGTGTGAACATATAGGGTTAGGTTGCTACGATAAGAATTTATAGCTGACACTGGGTTATTTCTGAGTAAAGTATACCGGTGAGGACGGAGTGCAGCTCAAACTATCACATCACACTGGGGTATGCACACTGATCAAAGCTTTTTCATTTCTGAATCTTTGGAAACAAGACCAATTCCTGTCAAAATCTTCTTTCTTCTAAAGCATGTCTGACAGCATACAAACAAAAAGGAGAAGAACAGATCCACAAACTATCCTCTGTGACATGTGTGCAGAGGACAGGAAACCAGCAAAGAAGACGTGCATGAAGTGTGAGATCTCAATGTGTGTCCAGCACCTCCAGCCTTTACCACCACTTGAAAAGGTGGAGGTGTTGTGGAACTTTGATGTCTCCTCACTCTTCTTCTACAGCAGAACCAGACAGCACCAGAGGGAAGAAATAATAACTATGGAGATGAGCCTGAACAACAAGGAACTGACTCCATTTGTACGACTGGGAAAGGAAAATGTCCAAAACACGACCCAGAAGCAAGAATGGAAGTGCTCATGTGGGAAAGCTTACTACAGGGATGGTAATGGATACAGAAATAATATGTCCCGCTTTTCTTCCCAGGCTAATTGTTCTTGTGGAAAAATGATTGGTGGTCCATGTGTCACAGAAATGGTTTGTAAACTCTGTTAATTCAAACTCTGCTGATCATTTAGTCATTTTCTGTCCCTGTATGAATATCAATGTAACTGACTGTCTTTCACATTCATAAACTGTGAAGACATTGTGCTGCTTCAGTGATTAACTTGTTGTGCGATGTATCACATATGAAAGTAATGTAAATTAAAAAAGTAAAACAATTTTGTTTTTTTGTTAATTAAAATATTCTTAGCTCCAGTGTTTGCTTTAAATGTAGCAACAAATTCTTTTAGTTTGAACCGTTTCTACTTTATTTCACCTGCAAGTTGAAGACGTGTGTCTCCATCTGCTGGTGGTGCTCTCACATTGTACACACAGCTCTTTGGTCTTATCGACAACAAAGAAACAGCTGTTGTTTTATACAATGTAAATGATCTGATAAATAAAAAAGTGAGTATACTTTTAATATATGCAATGCTTTACATATCTGAGTAACTGAAGTGAGAACATTGCATTTTCATTTGTGTTAATTGGACAAAAGAAAGTTACTGAATTTGCCAGTTTATTAAGTACACCTTTGTCAGTATAAAAGTAAAGCAAATCAATCTGCATTCTATTGGTTTTAATTAGTTTGAATATTGAAAACTGAAAAGACTGAGAGACCAGGCTGCAAAATACTACGGGTCTTATATAAGGACACAAAAACTGATAAGATTTTGTCTCATTAGATAAGAGCAGGCTCATTGTTTTACAGTAACTTGGAGGCACATACAGGGAACTATTGTTCTGCCATAAAGGTTTATAATCTACAGGCAGGGCGCTCAGTTTCCAACAATCTGATAAATACATTTGTTCAGTGCTGACAGGAATCCTGCCTCTAACATCAAAGCCTTTAAATAATCACCAGGTATTGTGACTTTACATTAAAAATGTTTTTCCTCTTTGTTACACATGATAGAAAATAAGGGCAGCTGAACGCCAGTGAATGAATGTCATCCATAAGCTACATCATGGTAAATTAACAGTATTTTAATGTCAGCACAACAATGGAAAAATTGCTCTGTGGATTTCATAATTCCATGTAAGTCCATGTCTTTTCTACCCTAGCACAAAAGTGTGTTTGCCCATCAAACTCTGATCATTTTTTCTAACACGTCCATATTTCTGCAGTTAAACTTGCCTGACTCTGCCTGTTCGCTATTTGTTTTAGCAGTGCAAAGTGCAAACTAACTTCCAGATGATCCAAACTGTTGTACGGTGCTACTGGATTTATAAATAACTGGGAGACCAGGCTAGAAAACACTTCTGTTCATTGAACTGGAGTCAAACAAAGAGCAGCAGAGATTCTTTCAGGACTGAATGAGATTCAACAAATCAAATCAGGAGATCCAGATTTAAGTAAACATCTAAAAACACCGGCCGAGCCATAAGCTGTTCTGTGTGAAAGAGGAAAGAAAACCAGCAAAGAAGACCTGTATGAAGTGTGAGAACTCCAGTATCCTCTTTGTTTCATTTAATGATGATGCTTATTTTGGAGCTAAATGAAGATGTGGTTCTGTACAAACATATGAAGTGAGAAAATGTGAATATTAAATAGCTCCTAAAATCAATCTTGTGCTAATTATAACTGGCTTATTGCTGCCTGGATTTTATAGATTGCTTATTCAGTGTTTTAACATTTTGAGTGTTTCCTGTCAATCTTGGAGGAAATTAAACTGAATTGCAAACATTATAAAACAGCTGCAGTCACATTTGTCTGACTCCACCCCTTCAGTGTGGAGTTTTCAGAGAATTGAAAGTGTGGTGCAGCACTCCTGAGCAGACTAAATACGGTGATCAGAAGCTGGCAAGAAAAGAGCAAAACTCAGGAGTTCATCAAATTCCAAATTTTTTCTAAAAGAGAGTCGACAAGGACTTTATTCAACACTGAATTATACTCAACAAATCTAAGGAAGACTTCCTGCTGGAAAACATGTCTGACAGCATACAAACAAAAAGGAGAAGAACAGATCCACA